CGTTCTTAAGTAGAGACCCCACTGTATCTATCCCTGTTTGTAGAGCACAGCAGATTGACTCAAAAGTCTTGTGTTTAGTTCTGGTTGGTTGATTTCACTATTCTTGTAAAAAAATAAAACAAAAAAAAGCCAGAATCCACCCACTCTGTCTTCGACATAAACAAGCAATATTTTACAGTGGTGCCTCAACTTACGAACATCTTGACTTGCAACCAATTCAAATTATGACCAGCTCCAGCTGCAAAATTTTGCTTTGACTTGCGACCGGAGCTTTGAGATGCAACCAGAAAAAAGATGGGGGAAAAGGTGGGGAATTTAAATTGCTAAGTATTGGTCAGCGAAGACGCTGCTTTTCTGTAGCTCTTTTGCCACAGCATTCAGATTGTGTGTTCGGAGGAAGCTTCGGACTGCCTGGTACTACTTTCTGCTTTTTAAAAAGCCTGTTCTGAGTGAGTACAGGGTTTTGCAGCGTGGGTTTGGGCTGTGGGGGGTTATGTTTCTGTGCTGTAATGGGTCTTGCAGTGTTTCCACCCCTTCAGTGAGTCCCCCCCCCATTGGAATGTATTAATTGCGTTTCTGATGGGTCTAGCAGTCTTTGTTTGCTTTTTGGTGTGTTTTTTTTCTCTCGTCAGAATGGATTAATCACATTTCCAATGGGTCTTGCAGTGTTTGTTTGCTTTTCGGTGTGTTTTTTTCCTGGTTGGAACAGATTAATTATGTTTCCAATGGGTCTTGCATTGGTTTTTTTTCTGGTGGGTTTTTTTCCCCATCCAGAACGGATTGATGGGGTTCAATGTATTCCTATGGGAAATTGTGCTTTGAGTTATGACCAACTTGTGTTACGACCATCTTCCGGAACCAATTAAGTTCATAACTCAAGGCACCACTGTAAAAGTGTGCACTTAGAGGATGTGCACATATAATTAAATTGAAAGTTTAAACCTGAATAAAAGCACATTGAGCATAGTATGGGACAGGAGCAAAGAACTGCTTGACTACCTAAACTATAACCCATCCTGACATTACTGGAGGCTAGGATTAAATAAAGTAGCTATTCCAGTCTTTCCCTCTGTTTTTTCTGCTGCTAATTAGTTGTAGAGTAAAACAAATCATAATCTGCAGATAAGAGACCTGGAGCGGGGAAATGGAAGTAATTGGCATGATTAATAGTAAAATCTACCCTGTAAAACAAAAATAAGAATAAAGAAAGCACACCTGGATGGAAAACTGATGAAATAACTGGATGCAATCTTCTGCAGGTGTATTTGCAAAGGAAAGTAAACAACAACTAACTACATATCCCAGAATCGTCTAGTGAGCGTGGCCATTAGCAAACCACAGAATGGCCTAGCTGGGTCCTTCTGGAAGGAATAGTCCAAAAAAAATTCTTCTTCTCTTTTTATTTGCAGTAGCCTCTATAATTTATATGTGCATATAGCCTGACATTTGTCTGTAGTTTCTTTTCAGCAGCTTGGGTAAGATCTTCTATCTGAAAAAACCTCATTGTTGCCTTTTTTTTAACAAGTATTTATATGCCCATATGCCTATATTGTGGAATTCAGGAGCATCTTGGCAGTTCAGAAACCCATGTCCTAAAACCAGATCATTTAATTGTATGGGAAGAAAGCATTCTTTGTTGGACAGGGTCTATTTTCATGTAGGTAGAAGTTTCAGCTTCTGTTTAAAACCTTCTGACTTTGAGAACATCCAAAGATAGATAGCCGACTAAGGCAACACCTTGTTTATTTCATGGCATGAACAGTATATCATTTCCTTGCTCTTGCATTTCACAGAAATGGCCCGTTTTCCAAAGAAGTAGCTATATTAGTCTCCTTTGACCCTTCGCTTCTGATGAGGAAGCAGGTAGCTGTGGGCTGTCTGGCAGTACCCAACGGGAGAGCCCAGTGCTGTGTTTGCCTTCATGGATGAGCCACGTCCAAGAGAGAGTTCAAATGTCAAACAGGGCCCTTGCCATCAGATGTAAGAGCCCTTAGTTCTCTAAGGTTGATCACTCTTATAGTGATCTATCCAGATGCCTGTGGGAGTAGCCCCCAACAGGAGGCTAAGTATTGCTAAGCCTTCCACTTCCCGCTGATTCCCCTTACTAGCCCCTGTGACAGGGTTTGGATAAACCTGAAATTGTTAAATGCTAATACGTACCAGCATATAAGTATTTGTGGGGATCAGAGCTAGAGAGAACCCAAGCATGAGTAAAAACAGCTGTGTTAGAATGTGCCAGAAGGGTGAATATGATTGGCTAACTCTAGTATATAGCTAGAGAACTAGAACACAACACTGTGGGTTGCTGTTGGTGGATTGTTGCTGTGTTGTCGTGAAGTGCTGTAGCCATGGAGCCAAGCCTGAGAGTTCAGAGGAAGCCGTACCTACGTGCTTGGAGAGTGGAACTCTGGCAGAACGGACTGATATATGGTATATGACTATTTACTGGACTGTGACACTGATTTAAGGCTCTGTGACTGTGAAACTGCCGTGTATAGAACAAGGACTGAAGCTGTAAATATCTGTAAATATTCTGCATATATACCAAGTATTTCTGCTACAAGAGTGTTTGCTGACTGTGTCTGCACTTCACTGGGAACTCTACCGGTTATCACCACCTGGGAAAAATCCTGGTAAAATTCCGCTAACTCTGTCACCCTGGTCAGAAACGGTGAAGAAAACTGAGCAAAGGAGAAGGAGATACAGTGGTGCCTCGCTTAACGACAATAATCCGTTCCAGGAAAATCGCCGTTAAGCGAAAACATCGTAAAGCGAGAAACAACCCATTGAAACGCATTGAAACCCGTTCAATGCGTTCCAGTGGGGTAAAAGCTCACTGTCCAGCGAAGATCCTCCATATGGCGGCCATTTTTGCTGCCTGTAAAGCAAGGAATCTGTCTCTAAACACAGCGGGGAGCCATTTTAATCACCCAGTGGCCATTTTGAAACCATCGATCAGCTGGTCAAAACCCATCAGTTTGTGAAGAATCGGTTCCTGAAGCAGGGAACCGATCATCGCAAAACGAAATTCCCCCATTCAGACCATCGTTTTGCGATCGCAAAAGATCGTCGTTAAGTGGATTTGTCGTAATGTGGGGCAATCGTAAAGCGAGGCAACACTGTACATTCCTTTTTTTTCCAAAATTGCCTTTATCATGCATGTTTTCATATTGGTCCTCCAGCGGCCCAGGAGGTACAGTCTTGGCGGTGTACGTCTCCTGTAAGCAGACAAGACTTGGCTCCTTAATTCTATTCTGTCCATGTCACAGAGCCACGGCCTCTCATCTCATCCTGTTATACGGAGGCTTTAGAAAAGGCAGAGGCCCTGATAGTCTATCCAAGTATTCTGTACAAACAATGCAAATTGTGCAATGCAATAATAATTGCTGCTTTGTTTTGTGGATTTTTTAAGACCTAGAAGCAGCAGATGGATTGTTATTGAAAAATCAATCATTTATTTAATTAAGCAGAATGATTTTCATATTACAGTGGTGCCTCGACTTACGACCATAATCCGTTCCAGAAGATGGATGTCACTCGAAATGGCCGTAAGTTGAAGCATGCATTCCCATAGCGATGCCTGGGAATGTGATTAATCCGTTCCAGCCACCCACCTACCCCCGAAATAAAAATAAAACACTGCAAGCCCCGTAGGAACACACTGGGGCTGGGGGAAAAAATCACCAAACAACAACACACCACAGAAACATAACCCCCCCAAGCACAAAACTACCCTGCAAAACCCACCCAGAACAGTTTTTAAAAACCAAAAACTGGCACCTTATCTTACCAGGCAGTCCCAAGCCTCCTCAAATGGCCTCCGCTGCTGCTGGTGCCCGACACCGCCTGCAGCTCCGCCAGTGGCACCAGCAGCTGCTTGCCGGGATGGCCATGTCAGGCCTTGGTGCTCCTCACCACCCTCCACAGCCACCTCTTTGCCACCCTCTGCTGCCACCACTGCTGCTGGTCCCTGACGAGCAGCCACTGGTGCCAGTTCCAGAGCTGGAGGCGGCGTCAGGCAGCATCGGCAGCATCAGCCCGCGGAGGGCGTTGAAGAGCGTCAAAGCCCAATGTGGCTGCCCTGGCGAGCAGCCGCCGGTGCCGGTTTTGGAGCTGGAAGCTGCATTGGCCCAGGAAGGGCGGCGAGGAGTGCTGAGGGATGCCCCCAGCCCCGCCTCCCCCCACTGCTGCATCACGGCGAGGAGTGCTGAGGGATGCCCCCAGCACTCCCCCCACCGCTGCATCACTTTCCCTAACCATTGGGGCGAAAGAGCTACAAAGAAGCAGGCTCTTTGCCACCAACAATTAGTACACACGTCGAAGCAAAATTTTGCGGCTGGAGCTGGTCATAATTCGAAATGGTTGTAAGTAGGGATGGTCAGAAGTCAAGACACCACTGTATATTATCAATATTATCATTTCATTATGATTTTAATGGAAAAGATAATAAGTTATTTTAATAAGTAGCAAGGGTGATTCGTTTCATTATTTAACCTGTTGGGAAGGGAAACAGTTCTAGGACATGTTGAGTGATGTATCCAAGCAAGCATGAATAGATCTATTGTGAAGTGATTGTGTTGATCACTGTCATTGTTTTTTGGCTTTAAAGTTGAGCCTCACAAGGGATGAAGTCAACCTTCTGTTTGAGAACCAGCTTTTCAGAAGACTTCCTAATGTTCAGTCTTAACGTTCAGTCCTTTTCACAACTGCACATTCTCCATTTAATTCAGTGGAACATGAAGTTGCTTCTGCAAGGGACCCACAGATAAGCTTGTGAATTCTGCCAGAATTCTTGAATAGCCATGTTGACTAGGGATTTGTCCAAAAACAGAGAACATTTTCAAACTCTGTCTTAAATGACAACCCAGGCTGGACATCTAAGCACAGACCATCAAGAAATTGGCCTTCCAAACACAGAAAAACAACAAAGAAACAAGAGAAATTGTTTAAACCACCACAGCTTTATTAAAGAGCAATGGTGAAGCAATAATAATAAGTACTATGGGGCAGTATATAAGCCTGTTGTTGTGCACTGTGATTTATCTCACCACCAGTCTCTCTTGTCTTGGACACCAATCTGCAAGGGAAGAGATCAACATAAGCCATGGAATCTCTTGAATGAGTCTGTAGAAGATTCTATACTTTCAGAGAGAAATCTGTGTCAAGCCGTTTTGAAACACAGCTTTCTGACTTCAGCAAGGATTTATATGGCAAATTATGGGTCATTTATTGAAGGCATTGTTACTGACATTGTTACCTACCCTGCCAAAATATGTGATTTAAAGGTTCTCTTTGACATTTGCTCGGCCTCCCAGTGAAGTATGACACCTTAAAAGAGCAGAATACATGGTTAGCTTGTAGACAGAAAACACCTCCAATTTCATGCATAACACAAAGGGAACAACCAGGAGATGGTAACCTCTACTTGATGCATAGATCCTGTCTAGATAAGGTTTTCTACATGTGCTCTTCCTAAGAGAAACATGAACCCAGAATTAATCAGGAGATAGCTCTGTCAAATGGCTAGATAGTAGACCAACAAGACATCTCCAATGTACAATCCCAACATCATGGTACAACTTAAACAAAGGGGAAGTGGTCAACCACTATTTGTCAACCACATACCAAGTTCTTGCTTTCTCTCCAGACAGGGTCTTCTCCATGTCCTCTTCACAGAAGAAACACCTGCATGTATGAATAGACAAGCAATAACAGGTATATGACATCAGATGACAATGCTTTTACCTCAGAAGGAACCAGGGGACCAAAGATTTCCCTTACAAGAAGCTGCCCGGCTCTAAGCTAAGTGTGGCTGTAGCCCAGAGCCATGGCTTCGTTCCTCCACTTCTGTCTGACTTGGAGCTTGGACCTAAAAAGCATGGGCATCCTTTTGATGGTGCCTGTTCCAATTGATTGTGCCTGTTCTGAGACATGATCACAAAGGGAAGAGGTTGAGTTAATCCAGTCTTGTTCATCAGTTGGTTCTCGTTTCTATCAAGTCACTGCACTTTTGTGTCTCAGACCATGACTTCTCGGCTGACGAAAGTTGGATTCCCGCTCAAGGACAATGAACCTTGCTATAAGGTTCATTGAACTCAGTGAACATTACCTACATGGGATTGGGCAAACCTCAGAGAGGCTGCAATCCCTGGAGAGCCCAAGGGCAACTGAGCCAACACCATGGATGGCAAGTTTTTTTGTAATGGGTTGCACTATGACCCAAGTGGATGTAGACCATTGTGAGATTGGGAAGTCAGGATGATGTCATTGGCTTTCCTGGGAAATATCAGGACTGAGCCACTTTGGGGGACCATATATGGTCAGAAGGTGGGAAAGCCAAGCAGGCTGTGATGAGTTTAATTCAAAGTTAATTAAACTTGAATCAAAACCTTTCAAGCTACACCCAGTTTTTATTTTCTCATTTTTAACTAGAAAGGGAGACTGAAAGAGAAACAAGGGGACAGGGTTTGCTTTTAAAGTTGAATTCAGTTTTATATTTCCAAACAGATTTTATAATTTAAAACTGTGGTTCCCAACCGTGAGTCCCCAGATGTTCTTGGATGATAGCTCCCAGAAATCTCACAGCTAGTGGTGAAGGCTTCTGGGAATTTTACTGGAAGAACATTTGAGGGCTCAAGATTGGCAAACATTGATTTAAAATAATCAAATAGAAATCCCTGTTTTGAGGGGATAAGCAACTTGGTGGTCCTTAGGGGCCCTTCCAAGTCTTCTATTCTGTGAATCTGTAATTAGCCAAGAACTAATTAAGGTCTGCTAGATAGCTCAGTGGTTTAGATATCTGGCTGCAGAGCCAGAAGTTGGGTGTTCAGTTCCCCACTGTGCCTCCTTGATGAGGGCTGGACTTGATGATCCATAGGGTCCCTTCCAGCTCTGCAGTTCTACGATGGTTATGTTTACCATAACATAACAAATGACTATAACAAAGCTTGCTTCAATGCACACTAGGGTGGTAAAAAAAGGTTTATGATGGACAGATTTTTTAACTCCTTGAGGGAATTACACTTTTGAATAAGTACAGGGCATAATGCTTTATTTAATCTTGAGCTGACAGGCAGAGAGGAAGCCAGCCTGTGCTGGGCATTCTAGCAGGAATCACATGTACAAATGTGGTGCTCATGTGCAGATCTGATGCAGCATATTTGTGCACAGACAGTGATTTAGGTGGTCAGCTAAGCAACAAGCAACTGGCGGCACTATGTTCAAAGGCAGAGTTATGTGTGTCTTCATGCCACGTGGCATGGCCTGCCCCCCTCCCAGTAAACTGGGCTGATCTTGCCAAGGTTAGATGAGGACTTCAGTTCTGCTGCTGGTATTGAAGTAAGAATCCACTGTGTTTGGCTTCTCTAGGCAAGGCCTGGCTGTGATCTAATGGCCATTGTGGAG